AACTCCAACACCTTTAATAATACAATACATTATAATATATGATATGATAATTACATTTTAGTTTTATTCATTTCTTATTTCATAGTTTCTCATTATTAGGGCCCGAGCACGGAGCGCTAGGACCCAACGGCGTCCTAGCACGAAGTGCGAGGAACCTATGGTTATTGGAGGAATTATTTTTTTTCTGCTGGCGTTTCCTATTTTTGAGGCCTTTAGAACGCTGAAAAAGTTGTATAATTTGTAAAAATTGGTACACGCGTCACAGCCCACGTCTTTTTCAAGAATGTAAAAAAATAACTTAATTTTTCAAAACAACTGCTCACTAGCGCCCCCTATTGTGTGGTAGTCGCATATAGTTTCTCAGAACTTCACGAATTTTGGCACAGACATTCCTCATGGAATTGCGGACATATTTGTATATACATTCCATTAGCCCCGCCCCCCAAAAAGTCGGCCATTTTGAAAAATGTGCGGTTTTTTATGCATTTTAAGCACATTCGTGCGAATTCCTCCTAGGGGAATGATCGGAAAAATTCCAATCCAGGACACGTTCAGCCCCTATCCAATATGATACTTAATTGAGAAGAATTTTTTTTATAGCTCAATCGTTGAGGTCGTAAGCTAACAGCGAATACACCATTTTTGACGATTTACATGTCGCAAATTACTCCAAACTACTCGGATATAGTTAATCCGATATTCACGAAACGCTGTATACATATTGCTATTATGATTGCACACATATTTCGAATTGCCTTCCATTAGCCCCGCCCCCCAGAAAGTCGGCCATTTTGAAAAATGTGCGGTTTTCGGTTTCCATCTTACGCACGTTCTTGCGAACTCCTCCTAGGGGAATGATCGGAAAAAATCCAATCCACGACAAGTTCAGCCCATTTCCAATGTGATGCTAAATTGCGAAGGAATAGTCGATCGCTCAAACGAGGACTTCGTAAGCGAACGGAGAACTTTACATTTTTGACGATTTACATGTCACAAATTACTCCAAACTACTCGCGTATACTTTTTCCAATATTCACGAAACGCTGTATACATATTGCTATTAAGATTGCACACATATTTCAAATTGCCTTCCATTAGCCCCGCCCCCCAGGAAGTCGGCCATTTAGAAAAATGTGCGTTTTTCATGCATTTTAAGCACATTCTTGTAAACTGCTCCTAGGGGAATGATCGGAAAAATTCAAATCCAGCACAAGTTCAGCCCCTATCCAATATGATGCTAAATTGAGAAGAACATTTTTTATAGCTCAATCGTGGAGGTCGTAAGCTAACAGCGAATACACCATTTATTACGATTTACATGTCAGATAAGCTACTGAGGCCTGCCTGTTTGCCTGGCACATCCACACACACACACACACACACACACACACACACACACACACACACACACACACACACACACACACACACACACACACACACACACACACACAGTTAGTCCAACAACACCCTTTGCTGGCGGCATATTCATTACAACAGACACCTATACACTCCCTAACCCTACTGTTTATTAGTAGATATCTCCTAAAGCCTACAAATAAAGTGTGAAATGTAGGCCTGTTACATTTGTTATTGAGCGATATATATTATACACACTGTTCTGCTTTCTGCACTGACCTCAGCAGCTGTTCTCACTGTAACATCACCTAACATCCAGGGGACATGTGATTAGTGAGTAAACAAACGGTAAAGGGCAGAAAGTCTGATGCACATTTGATCATCTCAAATAACTTATAATCACAACGGGAACAGTTTGCAGAGCTGTGCTTCGTTGACAGAAGTCCAGCCATGCGTCACACCTCTTTTAAACATCACTGTTGGCTGAAATCGTCTCAGGAGAATACTTCAGTGTACCCTCGGTTATAGCTCCTCTAGAGACACTCCTCTCCTCTAAATCAGTGTATCCTCGGTTACGCTCCTCCAGCCTCCTCGATAATCGATCCTCGACGACCCTTTAGAGAAATTTGTTTTCCTTCGAGACGGCGCGCTGACATCCGTTTCCGGGTCGCTGCCGGAGGACCTGGGAGTCTGGGACGCGAAAATTATAGAAATGAGAAACGGCTCATTTCCCAAGACTCGCACGCGTCTGCTTGACGCCGGGACGACCGGCTGCCCTCCCCGACAGGCGCACTGACGCGAGGGCCCGCTCATCACTGCGCGCACAAGTGCAAGTGCAGTTTTAATTATTATTTTTATCGCTCATCTTATTTTTGATTTTATTAATCTGTGCTGTCCTGTTTTTCACTCTCACCCTGTTGCTGTTTGAACTACTGCATTTCCCCACGGGATTAATAAAGGTCCATCTTATCTTATCCTAATGTATAAATTGATTTACTTCAATCTACTGTGCTGTGTAAAAACACCCCAACAATAAATATACTGCATAAAGCAAACTATATACTTTATTTGATCTAAAATATTGATGTTTTTTCATTATAGTAGCTTGTGAAAACCATACAGTAACAAATAAGTGATTAAATGCTACAGTATTCAGCAAACACAACTGCAGAGCTGCAAACATTGCAAACAGACTAAGTTCATCAACACCCAGTTGTCTTTGTGTATTTTGTGAATGAAGCGCCATCTCATGGTTAAATCCTGTAATTGAACAAATGGGGAAATTGGGCAACGCCCTCTAGCAATTTGGCAACACCCCCAGCCACTGGCATCCGCTGGGCTTTTGACTGGGACACACCCATCTGAGTCTGATCTGGAGTGCTTCATCTGTTTGTAATTTCACAGAATCAAAGACAACACAAAATATTTCTATGTAGATATTTTTCACTTACTCAGGGTTATGTAACTTAAGGGTTGGGTACCGAAACCCGGTGCCATATACGACCGGTACTGACCGGACCGAATGGCAACAGATATTTCAGTACCTGAGGTGTCGGGTTACACACAACAGAAGCATCACCGCCACACGTCACCTCGTGCCATCGCCAATTAACAACATTACACTCGCTCTGATAGCTGAAAATGCCAAAAGCTAAACGGTCTAAAGTGTGGCTGTATTTCAGTCTAAAAGATTCAAACAGCATGCAGCAAATGTTTGAAAACAATTGCGTGTTAAGGGGGGAAAACGTCCAATTTAATGAAGCACCTGGCGACGCACGGCATACACTTAAAACAGAGGGATGCACCGTGTTCGACTGCTTGCGTGACCCAGTGCCAAGCACATCATGCGGCAGGGTGGGCATCCCTGGCCACGGCAATTTGGAGACAATTATTTATCCTGGCAAAGTGGAGACTATTGATGATGACGACAGCAGTGTTTCCTCAGGTTAGTAATGTAACGTTGATTTCAAGTCTTGCATGCATACATACTAGTACAAAAACATTTTGTAAAATATTGAAGATTTATTTGTGTATTTTTGACTCTCCAGCTACAACAAGGACCCCATTCCCCTTGGCAAAGAAGGCCAATTTGACTAAAGACAAGGTGGATGAATTACACAGGGCTGTGACCAAATGTGTGGTCAAGGGACTGCATCCTTTTTCCACTGTGGAATCTCCATGGTTCAGGTAAAAACAAAACAAAGTGATGTGAAAACAATATTTGTTTGTGTATACAATCTATGCCATTAAGACAATTTGTCAGAATTAGTCCAAAAGACTAATACATATCCTCCAATGTATTTAATTCAGAGAGATGAACACTGGTCTTAATGTTCGCTACCAGGGATGATCTGTCAAATACGCTCATTCCTACATGGTACTCTGTTGAAAAACAAAATGTTATCACAAGTGAGTAAGGCTGCTATTACATGTGATGGGTGGACCAGTGTATGTTTTAGTTATTATGTGAATTTGTGTTTTGTATTTATTTATTTTATATATTTAAGTTTACTTTGTTTACAGTTAATATGTTGTTCAAGTTCAAATAAAACATCTTTCTTTTTAAAAAAGCATTTTTTTTCTTCGACCGGAGTTTTAAAAAAAGAAAGAAAAAAGTATAGGTTAAGGAGCGGTATCGGAAAAAACCCAAACAATACCCAACCCTAATGGTTGATATCACATTAATTAATTGACAATAGTAATATTCTTGATTATTCCATTATTTAGTTATTACAATTTCAGAAGAGTTTAGTTTCACTCACCAAGATGGCATCTTTAATGTCATATAACATTTACATACAATCACTCCACCAACTCCTCTACCCTCACTCCTCTCCTCACCCACTACCCTCCTCTCTCTCCTCTCCCGCTACCCTCCTCTCTCATCTCCCACTACCCTCCTCTCTCTCCTCTCCCACTACCCTCCTCTCTCTCCTCTCCCACTACCCTCCTCTCTCATCTCCCACTACCCTCCTCTCTCATCTCCCACTACCCTCCTCTTTCATCTCTCACTACCCTCCTCTCTCATCTCCCACTACCCTCCTCTCTCCTCTCCCACTACCCTCCTCTCTCTCCTCTCCCACTACCCTCCTCTCTCTCCTCTCCCACTACCCTCCTCTCCCACTACCCTCCTCTCTCATCTCCCACTACCCTCCTCTCTCTCCTCTCCCACTACCCCCACTACCCCCACTACTATCCCCAAGGCCAAACTCCGGAGCTTCGGGGACAGAGCCTTCTCTGTGGCAGCCCCGAAGCTCTGGAACTCACTCCCCCAAGACCTCCGTGAGTCTGAGTCCCTCACCCTGTTCCAGTCCCGCCTCAAAACCCACCTCTTCAACTCTTTATCTATAAGCCCCCCCCCCTCTTAATCAACTTCCTCCTGACTGCTTTTCTGTTGTGTTTTGTTTCTTTTTGGCTTTGTCTCTGTTTTTTGTTTTGTTTGTATACCCCCCCTCCCAAATGTAAAGCGTCTTTGGGTCCAGAAAAGCGCTATATAAAATTAATATATTATTATTACCCTCCTCTCTCTCCTCTCCCACTACCCTCCTCTCACCACCCTCCCCTCACTCCTCTCCTCTTTCATCTCCCCTCACTCCTCTCATCTCTCCACCCACTACCCTCCACCAACTCCTCTCCCCTCACTCCTCTCTCTCATCTCCTCTCTACCCACTTCTGAAATTAACTACAGTAGTTTTCTTTTTTGGGCAGTAATGGAATTGTAAACTAGGTTCTTAACGTCCTTTCAGCTCCGACTGCACAGCACAGGTTCTGCCTCCAGAGCCGTTACACACGGTTCTTTTCCAGGCACCCTTTGTAGTGTAATGAACCGGCCGAGTTGGCGCCGGACTGCTGCTTTTTCTTTAGAGGTCCAAGGCCTGCGACATCCTTTTACACCTGAAACAGAAATCACAAATGTAAAAGAGGTCGTCCTCACTGTTGGAACAATTATTCAGTCCAGCAAATTAATTTATATTATTTATGGATGAATTGTGGTTTTGAGTGTATGTGCTTGGTGGCAGCTTGGTAGTATAAAAATCTCTAACAACCGTTATCTCTGTCCTCTGTAAGCATCAAAACACACATTTAAATAAAGTAAATATAGATTTATGACAAAATAAAGCTTAAATAGAAGTTAGTGCCTTGCTAAAGGGCAGGTCAAGCAGAAATAGACATCTTGACTTCTTAAATGTGTTTCTCTATAGGTTGTGTCTATTCATATTATGGATATTGGATATAATCCTGTTGTGAGTACATGAAATGTACCTGCTGTCTCAGCCCTCTTTGGCTCCTGCGAGCGTCTCTTGGTGGAGGTCAGAAGGTCGGCTTCTTCTACAAGGAGAGAATAAATCACATTAGCATTAGCTTTGAATCATCATGCTAACAGATATCAAAGTGTCCCAGCAATAAACTGAACTGAAGTTCATACCTTCTGAATCCTCCATTAGTTCAGCCGTAGTGTTGGACCGCTTTGCTTTAGAAGGCCCTTTAAGAAAATAACAGGAGGAGAAATATAACATATAAATATATATATATATAACATACTGTATATTATATAACAACATTATATTTTATATTATCTATATGACTGTGTGGAGGAAGCACTTCACACACCACACTATGGCCCAATCCCAAATCACCCCCTCGCTCCTACCCTTCCGTGACGGAGTGAACTCCGTCTGAAGCCACACTCGCAGCTGAATGAAGTTCCCTCCATTAAGGGTTAAGGGTATAAATACAGCAGCAAGCTTTGGGACGGCCTCCCCTCTCTCCGGCAGAAACAGGAAATGCTGTAACTGTATGTAACAACGGTTTCAAATCTGTAAATGAATAACTCAAATAAAACTCCAAACATCTTTCATTGTGTTTCAAAGCTCTTTTAGTTTTAAATCTGATGTTTATAAGCTTCTTAGTTTTTGCAACGGTCTGTAAATATACACAACTTTATAATAAAATGTTCTAGACTAAACACAGGTTTGATCCTAAATTAAAACATATGAGGTCATCATGAGGTTGTTAACATCGCAATTTATCAGTGGATGTTTGCTGGAACTACTTGCAAACAGTGTGTTTCCTGACAGACACACACAGCGTGACTCCGGTCAGGTAGAGACCGGTCTCAAGTCAGCACCGCTGCAGACTCGCTGTTTGAGGGCTTGATAGCCCACTCCCCCTCCACACCGCTCCACACTCGTTGCTTTGGAACAGCCCTCAATATGGCGGACCCTCTGCGTGAACGGAGGGGTAGGGTGTTGGGGGTGATTTGGGATTGGGCCTAAGTCTCACATCTTTTATTTTAGTCTTTATAATGTAAATGAAATGTGCTTGTTCATTTTCAAAACAGTAAATTGTTTTCCTTGAAAAGAAAACGTGTTGTTCTGCTTTTGTTCAAAATATAAATGTACAGATGCTTGTTATATTTGTAAAAATGTTTGGCATTACTATACTGGCCCTGCCAATTGAGCTATTTGAAATATAATCGCAATACAATGTGCACAGTTGCTAAACAAAAGCAGAAGAAAACAAAAATGAGAAAGAATGTACCTGGTTTCGGCTCATCTGAGCATTTCTGCAGTGATGTCAGAACATCAGGTTCTTCTGCAAGGAAAGAACAAATCAGCAGGAACTATGATTCATTATCTGACAGTTCCACTGTCAGCAAAACAGGTAAAGGCTTAATCATGATTATTTTTCAGGTATTTGGAGACAGTATGTCAGATGAATTTAGAAAGTACTTAGCAGATTAAACAATAATGTTAAAAATCCGGTCTTGAGGTGGTTAAAAAGTTCTCTTACCAGAGACCTGGACATCACTTTCACCATGTTGTGCCGCCTGTTGAGGTCCTTCTTTTGAAGGAATGGCCACTGTTGACAAAACAAATAACAACAACATTGTTAAAGGGGACCTATCATGCCAAATGCACCTTTGTACGTCTTTTATACATGAATATGTGTCCCCGGTGTTCCAGGGAACTCACCAAGTGTCAAAAAACACAACCCTCTCTATTTTCCTCCTTAGCCAAATCTCTAAAAAAGGGGCTGCAACGGATCTGAAAAAAATGGATCCAGATTTCAACACTTTTCTACGTCATAAAGACGTGCTCCGCTTATTGGTCAACTCTCCAGCTATCAGGGGAATGAGCCACGGCCACGTGCATTGCCAAACCTCTCATTCGCATATAGGCTATCGGCAGGCTAAATCAACCACATCTGTGTTTTTGCCTGCTCTTGCCAGGATGTCTAAGCGAGTTAAACATTGTGCTGTTGTTGGCTGCAAGACTCGGGACAGGGGAATGCATGCAATGCCATCAGTGGAAAAAGAAAATAATCTGTGGCTAGACTTCATTTTCAAGGGACATGTGCCAGAAGACCACGGCAGATATCTGTTTGTGTGTTCCAAACATTTTACGACGGGCATGTTTATGAACTTCTCTCAAGTCCAACACGGATATGCCTCCAAATTAATGCTAAACCCGGGATCAATACCAACCATCCGGGACCAGGTCAGTGAGGACACATCCAATTTTGAAGCTGTAAGTTTTTATTTAGCGGTGTTTTTCCTGATAAAGCTATCTCTAGCTTGTAGTATGTAGCTTCACCGTGTCAATGTCGCCTCAAACCCAAATAGTAATCGGTTAGGTGTTTATATGTTTTTGTAACATTTTATTTTGTACGCTTTGTTTGCTTCGTCTTTTATTTTAATTATCAGGCATTTGCTAACATGTTCAGACATACTGCCGTAATGGCGATCTGTGTGAAGGCTGTAAAGCCACGCCCTAGCCGATAACACAAGTATTTATTCTCCTATTTATTAGTATTTTGTATCCTCTAAAATCATATTGAGTAAGTTATAATAACAAACGTAATCTTCTGTAGGTAAGTGCCGTTTTTTCCAGCGTTATATGTAAAGGCTTTTGTGATTGTAGTCTCTAAGAACGATCAGATATCATCGATCTGTAAGCTAAGCTACGCTAATGAGACATGCCGTTTTTTGCAGCGTTATATGTAAAAGCTTTTGTATGTTTACTTGTTTGCGGACATGAATATAAATGGGGGTGTGTTAGGATACAACACTGTGTGTATGTATGCGAGGGGACACACACACCACGAGTTAAACGGAGCTAAAGCCCCGTTGGTCTGTTGTTGTTGACGAGGCCTTACCTCTAGCAACAGGCTAGTGGCTAGTGGCTAGTGGCTAGTGGCTAGCACTCATTACAGTCAGTCTACTGAGCTCAGCCCCTCTCCAACACATCATCTGTATTGAGTCAGAAACACAGCATGCACGTTACGGTTAAAAACTAACTCAGATTGAAAAAGGCTAAGCAAAGAGCTTTGCTAAATAGAGAGTTTTAGCCCCCATCTTTTGGGATTTCAGACTATATTTATCCAAATAGTATTTTCTCATCCTGAATACTAAGTTGAGATGATTTTGTTCTAACTATGTTTTCTTCTTTACAGGCCAGCACCTCACATGCTACCAGCAGATTACCTGTGATGATAGATTCTGCATGTCAGACTGACCCACCCAAGTACCGTACTGTTCGTACACAGCTATCCTCGAGGACTCTTGGTTCACATCGAAGTACAGGTTAGAAGCACGTTTTTCAAATGTTCTTTGGATACATCTTGACATTCTGATGTTGTAGCCTTTAATTTGTGTGCTTCTAATTGTTGTAAAATATTTTTGTTTTGTTTTTAATGTCAAATACAATTATGTTACAGCTGTCCAGGCTAAAATTCCCTGCAGAAGCGTTGGTGTCGAAACACTTCCGTTGGAAGTGCCAGTGCCCTTTTTAACATCCACCCCCTTAAAGAGACCACCAAAGAGGCCCTGTGTGGATCTTGAAGAGGAATACGAAGATCCATTTGAGGGAAGCTCTTCTTTGGTGATTTCCGAAGGCCAGGATGCAACTTATGATCCAGCAGAATCCATAACAAATGCTACAGAAACAACAGCCATGTCGTAAATTACTGAAATATCACTATGTGTGAGTTTGTCTATGTATTGTATTTTTTGCTGTATATAATTCAAACATTGATAATAGGGAAACACCAAAGATCTCTAAAGCAACAATCTGTGTGATGGATATTAACTTCTATTTTTTTGTTTTAGTCGTCAAGAACAAAATCCCCCCCAGACGATCAACACATACATCGTGTATGAGACCTGCCTCATGGAGCTTTTTGAATCATGTCCTGTGTGCGATGTACAAACCAGAAGGATCGGTACATTCATATCAGTGCAGCAGCTGTGCCCCCATTGTCAGTTTACAAGAAACTGGAATAGCCAGCCTGTTCTTGGGAGTACTCCAGTTGGAAACCTGCAGCTATCAGTTGCAACATATGTCAACGGAGCATCTTTCTACAAACTTTCAAAGGTAAATTAACTGCAGAAGATTGTATTGCCAATGTTTGAAAATGCAAATGTTGTTGTTGAATAAGATAGGACAAGGTAACAATAACAAGAGTGAGAAAATGATGACATAAAATAATGACATGTTCAGCTCTTTCCCTGTTTAAAAAAGGGCAGCTCATTTGCACTTTCCAGGTTCTCCTCATCGACTCGTCAACAAATCTACAGGTGATCTTTGAGATTAAAATGTATTCTTGCGGTTTTCTTTCAACCATTAGGTCTTCAAAGCAATGAATATGTAGCTATGCAAATACAACACCTTCCGAAGGCATGCCAGGATGTTCATTGAGCCAGCGATTGTTTCTTACTGGCAAAAATCACAGGAAGGCATGCTACAGAAGCTCCATGCAGAGGAGAAAGTGATAGTTGGTGGTGATATGAGGGCTGACTCTCCAGGTATGTATTTTTTATATAATTCACATTTTACATTTCAGAAAGGGGTTTCACTATGTGTGATTTATTCAATTAATGGTTCCTGAAAAACACATGCTAAACACTACAAGCAAAAATACAGATTCACCATCCGCAGAGAAAAGTAATTACTGTAAAACATATTTTCACAGGCCACTCTATGATGGACCTGAAGAACAACAAAATCGTTGACCTCCAGTTGGTTCAGGTAAGTGGGGTGAAATGAAATATCAATGTTTTTTTCTTTAACACTGTTTGCACGTTATATTTAAAATGTGTGTATCAATGGTTATTTGTATGTGTCATAACAGAGCAATGAGGTTGGTGGAAGCTACCACATGGAGTTAGAGGGCCTGAAAAGGAGTCTGGAGTTGTTAAAGGAACGTGGTGTGACTCTGGACTGTATTGTCACGGACAGACATCTGCAAATTCAGAAATTCCTAAGGGAAAGCAGCATCACCCAATTCTTTGATGTGTGGCACATAGAAAAAGGTATTTTTCTTTATATTAATTTCTATAATAATATTTGCTCTCATGCTGCCACAAACGTGACTTTAGTTTTAATAGGAATCTCATTCTTTCACTTACTTTCTAAGTCTAAATCTATTTCATCGAGTGATTTTCCTCTGTAGACATCAGTTCCACTGCCATGAGGAGTTTGCTCATCTTGGCGAGCTGAAGGGTGTTCTCCGTTAGCCGGTAATATTTGCGATGAACACGAATGTCATGTCCCATAAAGGTTGCCAATTGGTCCAACTCATTATCTTTTAAATTCATTATCTGACTCATTGTAGCCACGTGCTTCCTCAGGTGAGTTGATGTGAGTGTATCTGGGTTCCTTGCTCCGCTGACAGCAGCATACTTTCTTAAACAGTCTGAACCTCGGATATAAGATTCAGAGTTCTGTCTTGCAAATAAATATCCATTACTACCTAAAATGTCATTGTCTTCACTCCTTTGCTCAATTAGAAAGTCGAGTGATTTGGTCATGTCCTGAGTGAGAAGCACAGGTACTTTCCGCCCCCTTTTTCCTCTAATCACCAACCTGGTAAAGTCCTTACTCAAGTCTTGTTCCAATTTTGATAGGCACTTCATTACATCCTCATTTGGTTGCTCGTTTGTTCTGTTGTTGTAGATTTGCAAGGGTATTTTTGCTGCCTCACCTTGCCGCCGTCTATTAAAAAGAATGATTTGGGAAAGAAGGCACTCACTAAGAGTTTTGTATGCTTTAGGGTTCGTTCCTTCCAAAAGTTTGGCTTTTGCCTCTTTCTCTGTAGACTTCAAAGCTATGTTGAGCTTCATCACATCTTCTGTCAATGGGATCATGTCTTTTTTGTTCCATCTGGACTCTTCCAGGTTTGTTCGTGTGCTGCGTGAAACAAAATGGTCCCACTCAGCATCTATCAAGCCCAAGAAGCTTTTTACTCTGGCTGCAGCGGCCTCATCCTCAGCTTTCACATGCTGCCCAACCACAATGCCACATACTGCCTTTAATGAGTGTCCTAACTTCAAAGCAAGCGATGGTGTGACATGCCTATATTTCGACTTAGTGAAACCAGATGCTTTTTTTGCTGCCTGTACAGCCAAATTAAAGTTGGGTGGCACCAAGACATCTTGTAATATGTTGATATTGTTGTTAATGGACTTGGCAGCAAGCACAAATCGACCTAACTCCCTCATCTTCTGACTTACATGTCCATCTTTTGATGGATCACTTCCGTGTTTTTCAAGAAGTCTGTCACCATACTCACAA